CTATCCTAAAATATTTTTCCATAAGTTTTAAATATTTATTTGACTCTAAATGAATACCTTCTAGTGTTAAAGAATATGGGCACTTGGTTTGTTTAAGAAATATGGAATAAAAACTTACTCGACTCATTCCAGGAAGATCTCTTGCGATACTCTCTGTTTTTTTGTCCTTTAGGAAGTCGCAAAACTAGCGAAATGAAGAGACTAACTGATCAGAATTCTCGATAGAAAGCTGCAATAGCTTCAAAAGCGTCTGTTCTCGCGTAAACCTGTGAGGTTCTGATTTGTGTTACAACACCAAACACAAACGCTTCCAGGTGAACGCGCGCATTTCCTTGGTTGCGTATAAACGCTCCGATGTGACGTCACAAAACATGGCGTAAATGTCCTGCCATTAACGATGTTGGGTCTTCGGGTTGCATTCCACCAAATGGTTGTATTTCTGCGCGCGAGATCATAAATATTTTGTGACCCTACGGGATTTTTACAATAAGACAGACCATAACCAGGAGGGATCATAGAAATATTTCTATAGATCCCGAATTTTGGACTGATTGTTTTCAGTTCGGGGTATTTCTTTCACAAAAAGCCCAAAATTGCAGGCCTTTTGTGGATAGAGGCCAGCAGCTACATTCAAAAATGAGCTCTTAAAATTTTGCTTTTTTCGTGGCTAACCCCCATGAAATTAAAACGAAAAGTGATCTTCTGGCCATAACCTTGAATTCAGTGAAAAAAACGGAGGCCAACCTCTTCACGAAAGTCAACCGTTGAACACGCGGCGCTATTTCGGTCCGATTTTGCACTGTTTTCTATGGCTGCGTATTTGGTGTAGTGCAACCTTCGCGCGCAAAAAGGGGCCATGAACAACTTTTAAAGATCCTTAAATTCCTGGGCATTGACTTATTGAAAAATATAAATTTTATTTTAATAGGCGGGTTTTTTTGTTGCATATTAAAATAAGCTTTTAGGAACGGTTATATCGGCGCTGTTGCAGATGCAACCTGCAACAACGCTTTTATTGTTTCAAGAAATGTTGTTGCATTTCAAATAGTGAAAAACTACACTTTGGAAAGAATTATAGAGAACAAAGCTAACCAGTTCCATTTTTAAAAACGTCTCTGAAGTAAGGCCAGAACAATTGTCTCATCGAGTGGTGTATGTGATTTACTGTGTGCCCCCCCCCCCCCGCAAGGCACCAGCCCAACTAGCTCCAGGTACCCTGTCTCTGAGGTAACTAGGGTTGCAATGATCCCTGCGGCGTGCTGACTGAGACAGCCGAGAGCGCTAGCGAAGCCACTTTCAAGCATGGCACACTGAACATCCAGAGATCATGTAGGAGCAGGTAGGCCTTAGGTGTTAACCCACCAAAAACGGCGGACGACTGTTCATGTATCCGCCCTCATCAGGCCACTTATAGCTATAATCTCCTCCCGATTTTGCTGCCTCATTCAGATAATTGTTTTTCATGCTGGGCCTACATGTGTCATTTTCTGACCCCAGTTTCGTAAAATTTAGACTAGGCCTAGTTTGGAAAGATTCCCCCTTTGTGTTTACAGGACTGTAGCAGCTACCAGACCTAAAGATCTCTCAAAGAAGTCTAGATCTTTTAGTCTGGAAACCAGATTAAAGTTGGACATGTGATTTTAATCATTCATAAATATTTCATTGAAGAGTGCCAATAAATTATCTAAGCCTAAGCACTTTTCGTCACAGGAAGGAGTGTGATTAACCTGAAATATGTAATTGCCTTAATTCTTTTCAGGTGGTACCCATGGGGAGGCAGGGTCAGAGTGTGGACCATTGGCGGAGGGGAGCCCTGGCAGCTAGGATAGTGTGACCCCCTGCTACCCAGGACAGACCCCATGCCACAGCCGGTCTGGACTCCCGAGAGGTGGACATGGAGATCACATTCTGGGTGAGTCTTGCCACACCACACTGTGACACTATAGCCTAGGTTTTTTGGCTATTTAAGGTTTGTTAGAGCTTACTTGGGAGCAAAGAGGGTTTTAAGAAATTTGTGAGATGGTTTCAGAAGCAAGTACATGTAGCAAGTCTGAAGTTTTTCTCACTGGCAGAGACCTCGTAGGAGGGGTGCGTGTAGCTGGGGCAGATTTAACTTAGTTTTTTCTTTGTACTCAATGCAAATGTCCACGCACTGTGTAGGAGTAGCACCCCCTAGTCTACCCATCCTAAAGTTGCCTTGTGCCCCTCATAATTGTTTACTTGATGATGACTCATGCAACTGGACAGGCACTGTGGGCATGCTTTGAGCCCAAGTCTCAGTAAGCAGGTTGGCAGTCGGTGAAGTAATACACCTATTAAATACTAGTCAAGTTCTGCCCTGAAAGCTCAGACCTGCGGTGGACTTGGTGAGTTTACTTTTATTTCTGTATTAATCTGTATTGTTAAAGAGAAAAGACTTTTGTATTTTATGTCAGCTGACTGCTTTTGATGATAGATGTCACTTTCATTGTTTTGAGATATTGTTTCATCTTTTTACTCACATCATTGGCCAAGTGTTCTTTTGGAAGATTTGAACCAAATTCTAGCCAGATGATTGTAACTTTTACAAGGTGTGTTGATCATTGCTGAAAACTTTTGGGCTACTCGGATATTTTTGTTAAAATATGAAGCTAGTGTTTGAATTCGCACAAGTGCATTTTTTGGGAAGTTCTTCACTAGGAAGATTGACAATGGAATCTATGTAGTTCTTTTTTAGTACCAAATAGATCGTATCTGCGATTTTGGTTCTCTGCTTTTGGATTTGATTCTTAAGTCCGCGCTTATGAACATTTTAAGTTAAAGTTGGTTATGAGGATGAGGATTGCTATGTAGATTCACTCCAGACCAT